TCTGTTCTGTTCTGTTGGGCCTCAGTGGTGACTTGATTCACAGATGAAACTGTTAAATGTCCGTGTCTCCTAACTCTGTGACTGTGACGTCGTCGTCATCTTTGTGTAGGTTTGTTCATTCACTCTGTCTTTTCTCTTCACTCTGCAGAACTCCATACGGCACAATCTGTCACTGAACAAGTGTTTTCTCAAAGTGCCTCGCTCCAAAGATGATCCAGGAAAGGTGAGTCCGACACACACACACACACACACACACACACACACACAGAAATGAGTGTTTAAACATTTTCACTTCTGCTGTGGCTCAGTGTGTTTGAGTATCAATCCATCTGTGGTTTAAAAGGTTAACTCTAGAGGAGAGTAGAAGTAAAGTTGGGGCAGGGGCGGGGGCAGAAGTGTTGAAGTGTCAGCTGGAGTTGCTGAAACATCTCAGTGAAAAGGAAGTGACGTCATTCCCTCTTCCTCAGCTCTGGTTGTTCTCTCACGGTTTCATCTACAGGTGAAGCTGATGAAGCTAACGCTGCTGTGTTCAGCTCTCACCACATGGAGCACCCTAACACAGATTTCATCCCACTGCTTCTCCCATCGTACGCTACATATGCTAACTGCACAGATAACTCCGTTCACACGCCCGTACGCCCGTACGCGCCCACAGAGACGTGGAGAGAGACGACGGGGACTGAATGCTAATCCATGTTTTGCTGTAATCCTCAGATATCGACTCTCCTGGGAGCTGCTCCACTAAATACAAATAATCTATTGCTGTATGGATCCCATTCCAAATGCATGGCCAACATGCTCGCATCCTTAATGCTTAATTTGGAATTTTCCTCACTCCCCCCCCTCCGCCCCCCCCCCCCCCCCCCCCGTTGAAGACAACTTCAAAGAAGCTGCAGCCTCTCTTGATATGTTGCATCAATATTGTAATGTAGCAGAAATATGAGAAGTGCTGGGTGGGTGAGATAGGGGGGAGTCACAGCTCTCTCTCTCTCTCTCTCTCTCTCTCTCTCTCTCTCAGAGATGGATAAACAGATGACAGTTGGTGGTTCTAATCCACACAGAGAGAAACCTCAGTTTATCACCTGAAATACTGACTATATTCAGAAAAAAGATTGTTGGGTTCTTCAAACCAAAGCTGTTGTTGTTGTTGTTGTTGTTGTTGTTGTTGTTGTTGTTGTTGTTGTTGTTGTTGTTGTTGTTGTTG